CCAATCGACCTGCAAAAGTTACAAATACGAAGAAGCTTGAGTATAAGCGCATGGGTTATTACGACTATGGTCCTCTTGTCCAGGATCAGTTCACTGAAATGCTGTCCTTTGATCTTGGCTTATGGGGCAGGTGATAATAATTTGTAGTGGCCCCCTTGACAGGTTTTACTGCATTACATTTATGGACTGATTCGGCACGAAATGGCTGGAAGTTGTACAAATGACAATTAAATTTTGCTTTCTGACAATTGTGTTGGTGATGTGCAAGCGGTGTGGGTCGGCTAAGACTGCAGTGTGGAATGGTGCAGTGAGTTAAGGCGGTGTGGGTCAGCTAAGAGTACAGTGTGGAAAGGTGGAGTAAGTTTTAACTCACAAATTCACCGAGAAATGATCAAGTAATAATTGCGCTTGCTAAACACCATGAGACTCCGAAACACGTCTTTGTCTATGGAGTAATTAAGAGTGCATACATAATGTTGTAAAATGATGTGTTGTTTTCCTGTGTGATGGCATTCCCCAAACTGTCTCGTCTAGTCGCGTGCATGTGTGATATGAGCATGCGCGATTTTGTAGTCGAGAGTCCTTTTGTCAGTCTTCTTGTTCGTCCCTTTGAGTGTTGTCTCCATTTCAATATTGTCAATAATAATTATGTAAACCAAACTAGTCTTGTCCTTTGTGTCCTGCGTCCCGGGGAACGGAATGGCTGTGATTCCGTTACAAGTGGTGCCGAAACCCGGGACGCAGAGGATGAGTAAGTTTGTCATGAGTCTGTTCGTCGTCGTCAACAACTAATACAAGTAATAGTACAAACTAGAGAGTAAGCGTGGGGATGGAGGAGAGACGAGGAGCTGGTGGAAGCGGAAGAAGACGCGGAGAGGAGGCAGAGAAGGTGGTGGACCGGCAGAAGCTGGGGACTGGAGCCTGGGACGGCAGGTACCGCATGGAGCGTGTGGCCGTGGCTCGCCAGAGGCCAGTGGATGAGTCTGGCATCACCGACTGTGTGTCGTCCTTTGTTGTTCGTCTTGTTGTTGTTTTGCTCGCTGTGTTGTCTGATCGTGTTTCTCTCGCTGTTCAGTTGGTTGCTGTGTTGTTGAGTTTGGTTGTCGGTATGTTGCTCTTCTCGTCGTTCTGTTGTTCTGCATTAATTTGTGTTGTAGATTTATTTTGCGCTGCTGCGCGCATATTGTTATTATTTTGTTGGAGCTTTGGCTCTCGTGTTTCGGTTATCCTTGTGTGCCTGAGTTTAGAGCGTCGGCTCTTGTGTCTTGGTTTGGCCCTGTGCCGTGGCCCAGTTTTGTTGTGCTACAATGTAAGCTGTTGGTTGGTTTTTCTGTTTTGCTGTGGTTCCTTTTGCTGTTGTGCATGTGGAACGTGGTGTCGGTTTATTATTTTGTGGAATGTCATCAAGGGGGCAGGTGTTGTAAAATGATGTGTTGTTTTCCTGTGTGATGGCATTCCCCAAACTGTCTCGTCTAGTCGCGTGCATGTGTGATATGAGCATGCGCGATTTTGTAGTCGAGAGTCCTTTTGTCAGTCTTCTTGTTCGTCCCTTTGAGTGTTGTCTCCATTTCAATATTGTCAATAATAATTATGTAAACCAAACTAGTCTTGTCCTTTGTGTCCTGCGTCCCGGGGAACGGAATGGCTGTGATTCCGTTACAATAATTATTTATTTCTACCCAACTTCCCATGACTACCATGTATAAAGTCTTTGTCTATGGAGTAATTGAAGAGTGCATACATAATTATTCCCATAGCTATGCAGAAGACGTTACTTCAGTAACATCTGGCGCTAGCCAGGGTCCACACAGCTTTAATTTGGTGTTTGTTTGTGTGTTTGTGTAACGCCTGGCGCTATCCCGTATCTGTCCCGTACCGTACCGTACCATCAAACACAGCTGGCCTTAAAGAATGAGTATGAATGCGAAGTGTATGGGGGAATGCATGTGGGGCGATAGTGCGGGTTCGAATCTCAGGTAATGCCTGAAAAAATAGGAGAATTGAAAAATTTATAACATCCCTTTTCTTTTTTTGCCGTCATCAAGGCGGTAGACGGTGTCGTATTACCCTCGACCGCACCTGTCTCGTACCTATCCCATATCGTACCGTACATTCAAAGACGGCTGGCCACAATGCATATTCAAATAGGGCTTTCAAATACAAGATCATAACGTGAAGCAACTTGGAAGAATTAGTATGTATGCGAAGTGTATCGGGGGATGCATGCAGGGCGATAGTGCAGGTTCTAATCCCAGGTTATGTCTAAAAACAAAAAGTAGAAACTTATAAGAATTTATAACATCCCTATGCTTTTTTTGTCTAGGTCATCAAGGCAAAAAAGCATAGCGTAGGGCCCTGAGCTTCCAAGCTCTCTCGTTTATTTCTACCCAACTTCCCATGACTACCATGTACAAACTTCGAAATCAGGTGAAGTGCCTTAATGGACATCGCTCTGAACTACAATTTTGACCCTCGTTTGCAGTTGATGTGAGAACGCGATCAGCCTTTTGAAGTGTATCTGTTCAGATTCAAAACACCCACTAATATTTGTAACGTAGACAATTGTTCATAAGTTTACGAGAAGAAAATCAGAAATCCATCAGCCATACTAGTTTTCGTGATTCTCGTGCATTGGCAACTAGGGTATTAGGAAAAATTCGCCCAATTTTTGGGCAATTTAAAGGGGAAGTTAAAGGGGAAGTATACCCTAAAATCAAATTTTCACCAGTTGTAGTCTTCGGGGTGCTGAGTCGAATGGTCTTGGTCCGAGGAAGCTGAGACGCTCCCTTCCTACTTGAATCCCAATCGAACTCGCGCACTTCCACCGAAACTGGGTGACTGCGCCCTACTAGATGGGGATTTGTATGCAAAATGTCACTAAAAGCGCCATTTCGTTCTTATAAAAGCACGGATGACCGCGATTGGCCCATATATTGTAGTCTTTTGGACGCTGAGTCGACTGGTTTTGGTCCGAAAAAGCTGCGATGCAGCGTTCCTCCTTTATTCCCAATCGAACACGGCTGAACAAGCGGTCACGTGCTCCTGCGTACACCAGTCACCTGGTCACCGTGCCTGCAGGGTACAACTTACTAGCCTGTTTGACCTTTTTTGGGTGCAGTCCTGTCACTCGAGTTGACCTCGAGTTGAACCTTGGTGTGAAAGTTGTCGCCTGCTGGCGCGGTGACCAGGTGATTTGGGCACCCAGGAGCACGTGACCGCTTCTTCAACCATGTTCGATTGGGAATAAAGGAGGAACGCTGCATCGCAGCCTTTTCGGACCAAAACCAGTCGACTCAGCGTCCAAAAGACTACAACATATGGGCCAACCGCGGTCATCCGTGCTTTTATAAGAACGAAATGGCGCTTTTAGTGACATTTTGCATACAAATCCCCATCTAGTAGGGCGCAGTCACCCAGTTTCGGTCGAAGTGCGCGAGTTCGATTGGGATTCAAGTAGGAAGGGAGCGTCTCAGCTTCCTCGGACCAAGACCATTCGACTCAGCACCCCGAAGACTACAACTGGTGAAAATTTGATTTTAGGGTATACTTCCCCTTTAAGGCAAAAATCAAAATTTCACAAGTTGTAGTCTTCGGGGTGATGAGTCGAATGGTCGTGGTCCGAGGAAGCTGAGACGCTCCCTTCCTACTTTAATCCCAATCGAACTCGCGCACTTCTCGAAACTGGGTGACTGCGCCCTACTAGATGGGGATTTGTACGCAAAATGTCACTAAAAGCGCCATTTCGTTCTTATAAAAGCATGGATGACCGCAATTGGCCCATATATTGTAGTCTTTTGGACGCTGAGTCGACTGGTTTTGGTCCGAAAGGCTGCGATGCAGCGTTCCTCCTTTATTCCCAATCGAACATGGTTGAACAAGCGGTCACGTGCTCCTGTGTACACCAGTCACCTGGTCACCGTGCCTGCAGGGTACAACTTACTAGCCTGTTTGACCTTTTTTGAGTGCAGTCCTGTCACTCGAGTTGAACCTTGGTGTGAAAGTTGTCGCCTGCTGGCGTGGTGACCAGGTGATTTGGGCACCCAGGAGCACGTGACCGCTTGTTCAACCACGTTCGATTGGGAATAAAGGAGGAACGCTGCATCGCAGCCTTTTCGGACCAAAACCAGTCGACTCAGCGTCCCAAAGACTACAACATATGGGCCAATCGCGGTCATCTGTGCTTTTATAAGAACGAAATGGCGCTTTTAGTGACATTTTGCATACAAATCCCCATCTAGTAGGGCGCAGTCACCCAGTTTCGGTGGAAGTGCACGAGTTCGATTGGGATTCAAGTAGGAAGGGAGCGTCTCAGCTTTCTCGGACCAAGACCATTCGACTCAGCACCCCGAAGACTACAACTGGTGAAATTTTAATTTTTGCCTTAACTTCCCCTTTAATATCAAGACAATTTTTGCTTTATGAGCAGCCTAGGACAATTAAATGAACTACACATACCTGAGGTCTGGGCGGTGTCCGGATGTCCGGTAGTTCTTTATTGGTTCTCACGCCATCAAGTATTTTGGCATCCAAAAATCATAAATTCTGTACGACGCAAAATTGAGAAAGGTGGCTCTGCTGCAACATGACGGAAATATCTCTGGGGGAACGGCTTTCAGATTTTGTTTAGGGACTATCCTAGCCCTCAGCAGGCCAAGTTACAATAGCATTCATGAAAGTCTTCCATGCCAAATCGACGACGATCAAAAATTTAATGGTGATTTTGCTCAAAAATGGTCACAGAAAAAGTCGAAAAAGCGGCGTCGTCATCTTCATTTTGCATAAAGATTCGGGGAATCGGGGTCCTGACCTTGGGCTTGGGGCATGGTCCGCGGCATGCATGGACTGTTTGAGAGTTTGCATCATGCATGTGATAGCGTGCCTTGATGTCATACATACTTGTATGATTCATGCTTTCTCGTATACGGTAGCGTTTGAAACTTTGGTTGATTTTTGTGCTCAGCTTGAATTTGGAACTCAAATTCATAATAATCTCAGATTCAGAAAGCAAATATCGGTGCTGCTTGCTCATTTCCTATTTCGTTGTGGAGGATACTTCATCCAAGGAGTTTTTCCTGTCGACATGTCCCTGGAACATTATTAGAGAACTTGAAAACAGGAGTAACTTTGGGACCTGGTGACTTGACAAGGAGGCTGCTGTCCGAATCCAATCTTTACAGCAGCAAATATGCCCTCGGTGGCGTCAACTGAACGGTTCCTGAAGGACCATGTGTCTCAGGTAATTCTGAATTTATACTCAATATGCATACCCTGCTCGCGGTCAAAAGACTTGCCGTGGAATTTCTTTGGCGCTCCCCGTTTCGTATGTTCTACGCCGCAATTGTTTTCACAGAGTAGCATGAGCATTTTGCTGAGATGCTCAGGAAATATCTGTCGATTGTCATTGTTTGTGCGCATTTATTGTTGGAGTTGTTGGAGACATAAGTTACTAATACTAATAGCAATCGTATTTGTGTCCACCATCTTGTGCCTGCGATGTATATTACTACTAGTATGTGGCGTACCACACGTTCAGTAATGGCAGTAGGCTTGGCAGGCTATTTTATTTAGCTCCTGCTCGTGTTCTGTACGAAATTTCTGACTGGGTTCAGCTGATACGACCGTAGTCAATCAGGTTCGCCTGCCATGCTGCCTTGAGTACTCCATGTTTGCTGCGTTGAAACTACGATAAGAGCACGTGATAGTGAAGATCGCGGAGGTCACAAATCAATCCAGTTAGTGAACTGTATTGGGTTCCAGTTGCACACAAGCAGGACTGGATGCATCATTACAGTTATCAGTGCAACCTACTAGAACACCCGAGAACCTGTTGATTGGATTGTGGGGTTTGTCTCATGTTCACTAGTCCATGGTTAACCGGTTGGTAGTACCCACGCCACGCTCAAATGGGAATGCGATGCCATTCGAATGTTGTCTGGGCCATGACTTAGATTCGCACTCAACGTTTTTTGTTCAGCCACCAGTGGGGTATCCAGGTTTGCACTGCAGGGGGACATGTCGCCCAACAGGACACATAGTCCTGTACGTGTACATGTAGTCCAAGTTCTAGGATTCTTCAAATATTTATTCTGTGATCGCTGTGCCGAACAGACAATATAGGCATACCGTAATTTCCTGTTAGAAGTCGACCTCTTATGACCTAAAAATCCGAATTAGAAAGTGAGTAGTAAGTCGACTGATGTAAACGGGGTTAACTGCTTCTGACCTTGTTGATGTTGAAGCTGTAAACCGAGGCCCCAAGCATTTGTAGTCGACTTATATTAACCGAGGTCAACTTATAACTGGTAGAGTACGATACATGTACCGTATGGGGTAAAACTGTGTGTTGTGACTAGTGATCACTCACACCGGTTGTTACACGCAAGAAGACTATTCAAATTTCGTCCATGGGCACATGCACATTTTACGAATATGCAAGTGGGACAACACTCCATTTGGTCTTCAAGTCCGTTACTCTGTGACAGGACTCTACCGAAAAAGGAAGCAAACAAGGCCAGAAAGTGCACAGCGCGCTTGCACCATCACATGCACGTGGTACAAAAGGAATCATAATGCAAGCATGAATCATAGCCGAAGATGGAACACAGCACAGTTGTACGAGTGCATGATCGGCAGTTACGAAATGTTTTTCGAAATAACAAATTTATCATGAGAGCAGCTGAAATAAATACAGGTTTTAAATGGAAACAAAAATAGAAAAGAGAAGATGGAGACGCAGAGCAGAGGGCGATGGAACAGAATTGAATTATCAGTGTTAGAACATCTGCATGGACACTTGGAATAGCAGAATAGACTACGACATGGCGCCAGACCGGAACATCTCCACGTGCACGTACATACCACTGTGACCAAGAGGAAGATAAACTGACGATATCCATAACTACAGTAAAACCTGTGACTAACGACCACCCCTTGGGGGGCCAGATAAAGCGGTCTTTAGTGGCAGGTGGTCCTTAGTTAGAGGTTGGCACCGCACAACCATATATGAATGTGAGACTGTCCGTGCCTGGCGAAGTGGTCTGTAGTACCAGGCTGGTCGCTAGTCACAAGAGACCTTTTGCATTCCGAAATTTGTAATATTTTTCGACTCCGTTGTGGCCAAGAAAAAACTCCAAACCGAAAACGGCATTTTTGTGTTTTTCGCATTCCGAAAGTTGTTTTCGACTTCTATCGTTCCGCTTCCATGGGTTGTTATGCAGAGATAAAATGGCGGAAGTGCGCATCCGGAGCGCGGGAGAAAAGAACCGAAAAAACTTGACAACATGACTTTTACTTTGCACATGTGCTGTACAGCCCAGTTCAAATTTATACATTTGATTTAGAATGTTGCCCGAGGATTACGATCTTGTGGTGTCTTTACTTCTCCTCTCCTACGACTGTGGAGATATCGACCATCAAGATCTTCTTCTGCTAGTGCTGGCACTGGAAGACGATCAATCAGAGTATGATTTCAACCAAGACGTGGGACCACGATTGTGCTTTGAGAATCTCGACGATGAAACTTGCCTACGTCGGTTCAGATTCAAGAAATCTGAAATAATCGAGCTCAGTGAGCTGCTGTCTTTACCAGACAAGTTCACGGCTCCTTGCAGGACACCGTGGTCAGGCTTGGAAGGCCTGTTGGTTGTGCTCAGAAGACTCGTTTTTCCTAACCGCTTGGGAGAACTTTGCGAGGAATTTGGGAGATCGAAAGGAGTATTAAGCTTAGAGTTTAACATCATCCTCAAGTGGGTCCACGACCGGTGGGGTGACCGACTGGAGCACCCGTTTGACAAGCCTTTCTTTACCCCCCGAAAGGCTAGCTGAGTACAGAACAGCAGCCACACGGCGCACGGGTATAGACCTGAAAGTCACGGGCTTTATTGATGGGACGGTCCGACCAATCTGCAGACCCGGAGTGGAACAAATGCTCTTCTACAATGGGCATAAGCGCACCCACACGCTTAACCCTTTACTATCCGTACATACAAGCATCGATCCAATGGGATCGATGGGGTAGGCATTTTGAAATTATCGTAACTTGCTCAAATCTAGGTCTTTTGGAGAGATCGAAATATGTAGGTCGAAGAAAAAGGTCTCAGCTGTCGCCTCGAACAATTCCCGACGCGATACGAACAGCGGTTGCTGAGTTATCGCACTCGTAATTCTGGTCCCGGGAAAAGTGCGTTCAGAGCGCGACGCGCATGTCGACGGCTGGGATTTTCCCTGTTTACGTCACCTGTTGGCAAGGCTACACCGATTCAAATTCAAAAGTAGGTTCCCGGGAATCTCTACGAAAATATTTGAGCTCGATACGAGCAACAGGGGTGACATGGTGGATTGAGATCGATCTCGAGCGTGAGCTCAGCGATTTTGCGCGTTCCCTGGCTTGCAGCGCTGGACCAGTGCATCCTGTGGCGCCGAGTGTGGGCTCATTGCGTTCGTCTCGTCAAGACCTTTCCAGGATGCCCAAGATCGTGGAAATCGTCAAATTCAAACCAAAGTTACGTCTAATTTTAGTTTCAGATTTTGTGGTTGCGTGGGCTTGTATACATTTTAATCGGACAGTAAAGGGTTAAGTATCAATCTGTAACTGCGCCAGATGGCCTGATCCTGAGCATGTATGGGCCGGTCGAGGGACGCCGGCATGATGCAGGTGTTCTGAGAGAGTGGGTTATTGCCCTTGCTGGAGCAGTACATGCAGATCCCAGATGGAGATGGTGTATATGCTTTTTTACGGTGATCCTGCTTACCCGCTATCTCCCTTTATACAGAAAGCGTTCAGTAATGCCGGAATCACACCTTTGCAGCAGTCCTTCAACACTCATATGAGCAGTGCGAGGCAAACTGTTGAGTGGAGATTTGGCGAAATCGTCACGTTGTGGGCCTACGTGGACTACAAGAAACAACAGAAGATCGGCGTACAAGCAGTTGGCCTACACTACAAGGTTGCCGCGTTCACAAATTGCCGCACTATAATTCGTGGTGGGAACAAAACGTCAATGTTTTTGATGTCGATCCACCATCTCTGGACATTTACCTCCAGTAGCATTTCAACAAGGCATGCAATAAAGAGTACCTTGCATCTTGCAGGCTTCCCCACTTTGACTTTTCTTGTTGGATTCCCGGCTTGACTTTATAATTATGACTGTGTGAGTGTATTGTTTTACTGCGACAAATACAAATCTCTATTTGAAACTCGGATGTTGAGCCATAAATAAATGAAGAAAGGAAAAGGACATATGGATACGAGTTTAGAGTAACTCTCCATCACTGTAACTGGATACTATATACAGTCAGAAAGTGCAATAACTAGGCACTGTATATAGTATCCAGTTACAGTGATGGAGAGTTACTCTAAACTCGTATCCATATATCCTTTTCCTTTCTTCATTTATTTATGGCTCAACATCCGAGTTTCAAATTGCACACCTGATGAGCCGTCACGAACCATACGGCGAAACGTACGTCGTGTGAAACAACTTGTTTTGTAGTCAACTAGTCCATCACAATGTCATGCATGAGGAGTACTGTAGGAGTTTGGCTTTCGGCTTGTACAATTCGTTTTCGCAAAGCTTCCCCTTTCTTTACTTATCTTTGATATTTATGACCCACCCAAGTTGGGTGGTGTGCTGCTTTGCTGCTTCGAATTGTAGTTAGACCGCTTTGTCAAATATCGTACTGGTCTCGTCATCGTCCAGTAACAATCGACATTCTTTGTTCTGTTGGGACTGTAGCTTTTGCTCGTTTTCGTTGCGCTTGCCTTCCCCTCTTTGGTCTTTCCATAACGTTGAACCTTCCAAGTTGGAAGGCTGTCGGTTAGCGCTACGGAGATGTGTTGAAGCTAGGTGTCAGGACGTCGAATGTCTCAGTACTCTGTCAGTTTTGTGCCTAGTTATTGCACTTTCTGACTGTATATAGTATCCAGTTACAGTGATGGAGAGTTACTCTAAACTCGTATCCATATGTCCTTTTCCTTTCTACAAATCTCTATCTTATCTCTATCTTCTACGGAATTGTCCTCGCTGTGGTGGTGGTGATGTGCAAGATGTGCAAGTGGATTGGCCAAGAGTGCAGTGTGGAGTGGTGGAGTTCCCTGAACAAAAAATACAAATGTTCAATAAATCACCGAGCAGAAAAGGGAAGAGAGAAGTATTACAGAGATAAATAGAACACGGTAATACAGACAAAGGTCAACATGTTTCAGATTTTGTCCATAACGCGCTCCTTCATCTTCGTAAATATATCGTCCCTTTTCTCCCGACTATCTGCTTCCTTCTTCTCTTTCTCAACTCTTGCCTTCAGCTCTGCCTCCTGTAGTGCCATCTTCCTCTTTTCCAAGTCAAGCACGTCACCAGATGTCTGTGCAGCAGCACGATCCTCTTCAAGAGCCACCTGGAGCGAGCACACACACCACATGCCCAAAATACACTTTCATTTCTCTGACTAAAATTTGTTCTGCGAGCACAATTGATACACGTTTGCAGCAAGCTTGCAGTAATTGTACTGCAACTCTTGATTGAAACTAGAGTAACCTTCAGTGTAGAAAGTTTTCAACAACGAGATCTGCGTCTCGAGCAAATAACCAATCCATTTGGACATTTCAAAAAGGGATTCAGACCATTAGAATAAAGGAACAATGTGCCTTTTCTCCCAGCTCACCTTCCTTTCCTCCACTTTCAACTTCCTTTCTTCCAGGTCCCGATCTGCAGCATCCTTTTCGCGCAGAAATTCCACCACCACTGCAGCACTGCTGAGTTTGGTTTTCTTCGCGCGCGCCCGCGTGCGCGCGCGGGGAGGGCATGACCTGCATATATCGCCATCTCCTTCTCCCCAAGGCTTCTGCAGGCATCATCCCTTAGGGCCTCTGCTACCGACTTGGGAGTAGCTTGCGGTGCAGTTTGCGGCTTCTCCTACTGCAGCATCCTCAGCTCTGTCAGAAGGCGATCTCTCTCCGTGTAGAGACTCTTCATCCGTCCCCGATCCCTTCCTCTTCTTGTTGTCATTCTTGGAGTGTTGGTCGAGCAGTAGCAGGGTTCGATCCCTGATGGATTTTTTTCATTACGCTACGAAATTTAGGGTCAGACGAGGCAAGCACTGTGGCAGTTTCCTCAAATCCTGTTGAGCCACGAACGAATGGGGTTGATGACAAACAGAAGCTGCCTGCACATAGTCAAATCCATGTGCAAGTCAAACCGGACTTGTGAACGGCCAGCAGAAGATGGGGAGGGCACAAATCCTACGGCTGTTGCTGTGGGCGGAGGGGGAGGTGAAGCAGACGATGCAAAGCCAATGCTCCCGCTGCACTCCAAGGAGGGTGGAGATGGGGAAGAAGACGGAGTCGACATGGCTGGAGTAGAAAAACAAACTGCACGCAGGCCTTCCAAATCCAAGTTTGAAATTGAAAATTTTCAAGCACCAAGCGCGGGAAAGAACATCAAAAAGCCGAAAAAGTACTTTCGGAAAACAATGCACTTTCGGCACCAAACTTCCGAAAGTTCGCCTACATTTTCGACTGTCAAAGTCAGGTTCCGAAAAATATTCCGAAATTCGGAATGCAAAAGGTCTCTTCAGTTGTCTTTAGTTACAGGTTTTACTGTACAGTATGTGTGGTATGTGTGTTGATCAATAATGTGGTGTGTATGTGCCTGTCTGTCTACCTGTACATGTGTTTTGTGTGTGTGTGTGTGTGTGTGTTTGTGTGTGTGTGTGTGTGTGTATCTGTCTGTGTCCCTGTGTTTGTGTGTGTGTGTGTGTGTGCGTACCTGTGCTGTAACAGTACGCTCACAAGGACCAGGTGAAGAGTCAAGTACTGGGCACAGTACGAGTCTACAGCGACTTGACAACCAAGAGAGAACCCTACTGTTCGTAATTGTCTCTTTACTGTATCAGCACATTGTGTTCTGTGTGTGTGCAGATAATAATAGTAGACGGAGACTCCCTCGATTTAGGCTAAGGCCTGTGGAGAATCCATAAATACAAAACACAATACAAAAAATAGTCTGTTTACTGTATCAGCACATTGTGTTGTGTGCCAGATGGCAATGCAAAGAAGCACTCAATATGCAGTACTTGTACAAGTACGAACAGCCGTCGTTCACAAGCTTGGATAACACAAAAAGAACTATTTCCTGGTGCGGCATGTACATTGTGCGCCATCAGATTTCCAATAGCTTGATCACAGGCGGACTGGGAGTGTTCGTGGGCCAAAAACTCGGGTGCACATTTGGATTGCGGTGGACAAATCTGGTTGTTTTCAGGCATCCACTGAAACGGGCTCTCGTGAGAATGCCCGTCGTGCGAGTCGCATATTGGGGTCAATGAACGTGCGTAGCTGATGTGTGATGTGTTGAAAGTTACGAAATTCGAATTATTTTTAAATAACCACTCTGAAGAAGAGATGTTCAAACATCTCTTCTTCAGAGTGGTCAACACATTGTATTTTGCACTGAGCAAATCCAACGCAATCTCTTTCCCTCTACAGTAAACTCTTTGCAAGCTTCTTTGGAGTCCATTCAGCTGCGTTTCGTATCTGTTTGGCTTGTGATGTGCACTGATATCTTCTTTGTTCTGGGCATACTTTGTGCACGCACAGATCACCCGGATGGCACACGATCAGACTGGCTGAATATGGTCGGCACAATTCCAGTGGTTTTCAAAGGTGAGTAGGTCAATGACCTGCAACGTGTCTGATTTCAGCGGGGGGGGGGGGGGGGGGGGGGTACTAATTTGTAAGTAAAACCTGTCAGGGCGACCACTCTGATAAGGAAACCACCCTCCTCCCCCTCCCCCTCTGCCACCACGAGTGCCTCTCTCTCTCTCTCTCTCTCTCTCTCTCTCTCTCTCTCTCTCTCTCTCTCTCTCGGACAAACACTCGTGGTGGTTGCACTTCCTGCCCTGCTTCTTGTACAGACTGTATGCGTTGAGAACAGCAACGTCGGCGAAGTGATGGCCAAATTTGCGGTTCCATTTCACCGCCTTTCTGATCGCCGAGTAGTGAGACTGCAGCTGGTCATTGCGGTCTACTCCGCCCATATGCTTGTTGTACTGCTGAATCGCCGTCAACCTCTTGATCATCTTGTGCTGCGTATCTCTTTTCCCAGTTGAAGTGACAGTTGGCTCGAACATAGTCGTCAGTATGTAGACGTCTTTGCTTCACGAAGAGAGCTGATTTTCGACGTCATGGGGGCCTTTTCAGTTCTTTCTCACACTACCGGATACAGCTGTTCCACAAGCTTGAAGATAATCGAGCAAGCTAGACGCTCGAGTAGAAGTTCTCTACAAATAGCATGTAGCCTTTGTTCAGGTACCCAAGTATCAGGCGCTCGACAACAGCCCCAGACTTGCCAATCTGAGTCGGTAGAGCATGAGCTTCTTAATGTCAGGGTCGTGGGTTCGAGCCCCGCGTTGAGCGCCAATGTTGTAGTCTCACGGAAAATAGGAGCTGACGTGGTTCAAATAATGACGGAGGTGTGAACGCGATGCCAGATGCTCCAGATGCTGGGCTTGAACCATAATTTCAATACTGGCCAATCTCACTTCTACGTTACGCACGCAGGCACAGCAGAAGTCAAAGTTCTTGGTTCGCACGAGGGACTCGAGATGATGAGATTGAGGATGAGACACGGGGTTATGAATGTAGTCAATCACGATATGTGTATCTCTACTACGTTCTGCTATACTCTCACACAGGGGCTACAACTTGTTGGTTCACTGGTATTTATAGTTAGATTATCATCAAGACTGGGAGAAGACTAACTCGACAAGAGGACTAACACAACTCAAGGAGAGGAGAACTAACACCACTTATGGGTGCGTGTGTACATGCATATACGGGGGAGAGGTCATTGGTGTGTGAGTGCGTGCATACATGGAATCGTGAACTTAACATGACGAACAATATCGGAGTCATGTCCGCCAGCCTCGTTTCCAGCATAAACGGACAAACCGGCCATGTGGCCAGATGTTTCACAGATTGCGAAACTCTTTATGCCGAATATGGACCGCTTTGAGGGAATGTGTTCTTTGAAATTCAAGCGTCCTTTCCATGGGATGAGCTCCTCATCGATAGATATGTTCTGCTCCATAGTGTAAACACAATTGAAGCGGTTCGCCAGCAGCAGGTTGAGAAGAGGTCTGGTCTTGCACAGCTTGTCACCAGCAGCTGCTTGTGATGTGTTGTCCGCACAATGTAGATATGACATGATGATGGCCCAGCGATCTCGCTTCATGGCAGCTGAAAACCATCAAGTTTAGATGAGCTAGTTCTTCTTATTCCGCCACAAATCAACGTTTGGCTTCCATAGCAAGCCCATCAGCAGGTGCAACGACAAGATTACCTTCATTTCGCCAACATCGACATCATACCAATCATGATAGCACGACCGCCGTGAAAGGTTGAGGTGAGCGGCAATGAATTGGGCCGCGTAGGGGTTTGTTCCTGTGAAAAGTGACAGGTTGCATCCGGCAAGAATACACTGACGTTATCATACGGACTGGACTCTGGTGGCATTGTCGCTCGCAATCCTGGCTGTGCAGTGACGGCATTGTTACTTGGGGTTTTGTGGGCTTTCTTCCATTCGCCTACTTGTACAGCACATCAATTCCAGTAGCAATTGGGGTATTGAATGCAGACTTCAGATGGTGGTAATAAAACCATAAGAGGAGTTAAAAACACACGAAATTAGTTACGTAGTGAGGTGTACACTTCACGCACAAACAGTTCAAAGGAGAAGACTAACTTGTCTTGGCTTTTTTCAAACAAGTCAAAAAATTCCACAATTATTTACAAAAAATTATTATAATGCTATGAATAGAATAATCTGCACACTCAGGGTGCGTTTGGTTGGTACGACCTAGAACAGGATCGAACAGCTGGTGCACATGGAGCAGCCTCATGCCAACCAAACGGTACTCCGGAAACAGAGCACATTTTTGTGAAAAAATGAGCCAAACTTGGTGCATTGGTGCATTCTTCATAATGTGTATGGGTCACCATGGTCGACCGGTCACTTTGTACGGTACAACGAGTCCAACCCAGAAGCGTATGGACGTGATCATTTGGGACCAAAATCGATGTTCCCGCCAGGTTTCACTGTGAAAAAGTGAAACTGCTCGGTCTGCTCCGGCCTCGAGGCCGGAGCAAGCAGAGCATGTTCTGGCCGGCCCAGAACAGGTGCAGTCCCAACCAAACGCGCTGTTCTGGTGAATCCTGTTCTAGTTCGTACCAACCAAACGCGCCCTCATACTTCAAACACACAAGGCAAGGTAGGTAGGCCTAAAGATTTCCAGGAACGTTTTCTTGTTACGATCATCAGTTGGAAAATACATCGCAATAGAGAATATTAAAAGGGAACATGTAACTAGCAAGATACTGTGGTGTGGGGATGGCAAGAAAAGTAAAGAAAGAAAAACATGGACTAAACTGTACGAATTACTAAAAAATATATAATCTCACCTTAGTGGCTGCGGTGGTGGTGGTGGTGGTGGCAGCTGTGGTGATAGTCGCTCAACTTTGCCTGGGGTGGTAGTGGCTCAACTTTGCCGCTATGGTGGTGGTGGTAGTGTGCATGCAGTTAAAGGACACGCTATGTCCAATATTTGCTGTTACCTGCACACCAAGTTTCTGTCCATGTGCAGCCTTTCCCAGTGTAATGTCCCGTTGTTGCTTGGCATGCATGGTTCACTAATGTGGCGTCCTTACACTTTAGGAACTCTCTCCAAAGTATATTTAATCAGGTCCTTATCATAGTGGAAATGCTTGACAAAAAAAATTGAAGTTGAACCAATACTTTCCCCACACAGTGGGTGCGTTCGATGTTGCCCACGAATCGATTTTTGAATCCATTCATGAGTGATTATTACCCCTGGCTATTCTCATCACCCCATGTGAGTAGGAAGAATTGATTACGAACCGGTTCCAGGGCTCATGTCATAGAATTGAACAACTTGAATGCACGAGTTTCCATTCATGAATCGATTCATGGCAGTAATCAAACGCACCCAGTAGGTCAGTAGGCCACTCAAAAGATTAAAGCAAAAGGCAAGCAGCATGTAGGGTGGCGGGCATGTCAGGCAATTAAAAGGGGAAGAAAGAAATAGAAGTACAGGGAATAATTTAACCGGCATCGCATCGCAGTTTACTACACAATTCTTCTGAGGTGCGAAACAACTTCAGAAATTTGTCGCAGAAAACTGCGATGCATATAGATTTTTCACTGTACCCTACGATGCACAGTGTGCATGTACATGTACATGCCCGGTGTGTCTCTTAGGGATAAAATAGATGCACAAAACTTCGAAAGTGCTGAGCTATGCATCCTGGCACCAGGCTAGGTTTGCAACTAAGGTGTCATAGTGGACTTGTGGTCTGAGTTTGCACTCTGATCAGTTTATAAAAAGGATGGTTGTCAAGTGCGGAAGAATATTGCTACGCAGAATTTTTGAATAGCTATTCAAGTTTGATTTTGCATAGCAAAATTGCTATGCAAAAGATTGAAAGTAAATTATTCCCTGAAGTAGTAGCAGTGTTCATAGTTTTTCTACTGCTACTGTGCTCATTTGCCAAACCTATCTCCGTAGTATTTGGCATTGATAGCGATCTTCAGCACAGCATTACAGCGACGGAACCTGTTGCTGCCGCCACTGCTGCTGTCGCCTCTGCTGCTGCTGCTATTGCCGCCTCTGCTGCTGCTATTGCCGCCTCTGCTGCTGCTATTGCCGCCTCTGCTGCTGCTATTGCCGCCTCTGCTGCTGCTATTGCCGCCTCTGCTGGTGCTGCTGCCATTGCTGCGTCTGTTGTTCCGGCCATCGTTGTCTACATCGTTATTGTTGTTGCTGCACCGCTGCTTCACGCAGGTACCAAGTATAACATTCCGATCATCATCTGGATTCCAGACCAGTTCCCGGCTAAGCCACCGTTATGCCTGGTACAGCCTACAGCCACCATGATAGTACGACCAGGTAGACACGTCGACGCTAACGGCACAGTCTACCTGCCCTATTTGGAGGACTGGAAGCGGGTGAGTACCAATGTCTTCTTCTCACTGGAGTTGTATGTATGTATGTATGTATGTATGTGTGTACATGTATGTATGTATGTATGTATAACCCATAGCCATTCTGGCCGTGGGGGTGCCATGTGTGTCAAAAGGGCGCGTTCAGACTGGTGTGAAAAGCAAGCGGAATGTGAAAGTTGTCAAGGTGAATCGTTCACGTGACGTTCCCGCCAGCGTAAACACGGAAAAGGTTTCCCACCACTGTGCAGGCCAGTGGAATGCAGATTCCGGCGGCACGCGAGAGCACTTTAGATATACTTGCACCACATGTGCCGTCTTTTCTTTTTATTTCAGCCTCTACTCTTTTAGTCTGACTGCATGCTTTTGAGTTTTGACTTCTAGACTGCCAACTTCTCACATCGTGCCGAAAACTTTGTTCGACTCAGCAATGGAGAGGGAGTTCATGGAGCTGTACGTGGTGATTTTCGCGGGCTCTGCAGGCAAAACGTTGACTGCGAACAAGAAGCATACTCTGATCGCGGAGCGGATGAATGCCACCCAAGCACCAAACACTCCGGAAATCGTATTCTTTCCGTCGACAAGCACAAGCAAAAGCACAATGATCCAGTATCTCAACAGACTGAATTAGTTTATTTTGATGTCCAACTCAAACTGAGTAAAATCAAATTTTTCTAATGTCAATTGATTACCGTATTTTCCGGGGTATAAGCCGCACCGGGGTATAAGCCGCACCCCCCTTTTTGAGGCAAAATATTGACTAAAAGTTGGTATTCGGAGTATAAGCCGCACCCACAAACCAAGATTTTTCACACTCATTGAAAAATGGCCTTTCTACAAATTTATTATGGTTATGGAGCTAAATACCATGTTAGATCAGATTATGAAGTGTTAGTGCACCACAGGTTGCTGCAGAGATGTTGGTGTATTGCTGTGTTGACTACAGATCACTCCATGTCATCTGCACTATCTTCAGTCTCGCTGCCACTGATGCACTAAAACTACATGACATTGTATAAAAGTGCCGGGATAGCAACACAGGCGCGAAGCTGAGTCGAATGACATGTCACATGACGTCAGCATGCATACTGATGTATGCTAAGCATTCATTCGCGCAAGCATATTCGGTGTATAAGCCGCAGGGGCGATTTTGGTCCGATTTTTAGCGAAAAAAAGTGCGGCTTATACCCCGGAAAATACGGTATGTAAAAAAGCTTGTCAAAGTATCACAGTCATGTACTGGCCATTCCAGCGGGATACACGTGCAGTGTGATTGCGATTCCCGGGATTACGCTGCAGCATTCCGGCGGCTATTCACGCCAGTCTGAACACGCCCTAAGGCAGCAGCATCAAAGGAACGGAGAGAAAAAACTAACTACGCTGATAAACAAGCTGTCTGTAGTACAGGCTGTAGCAGGTAGTGTCTTGAACACTTTGACTTTCATGTGCACGTGCCCAATGTACATTATTCCTATGATTCCATGCCATTTTAGCACCCTCGAGTTCAGCACCAACCAGGTGAGCGCGACCGTTTCCGCGCCGTGAACCTGAGCACCGAACTTTACAGCGTCACATATTTAAGCGCCGTTTCCTTCAGCCCCAGCAGATAAGCGCCGAATATCTCAGCGCCACATAAATCAGCACCACATAAATCAGCGCCATGTATTTCAGCACCGAATACGTCAGCGCGACCTTTCTCAGCGCCATAAATCTCAGCGCCACAGATCTAAGCGCCATGTTTCTCAGCACAAATTTATTATAATGACTGTGTGTATGAACATCGTCTGTTGTGACTATGACTGTACAAGTATTGACTTTCCGCTGTACTGTATCACGCTGTACTGTATCGCCCTGTACTTCATCGCACCGAACTGTACTGCGCTGTACTTTATCGCGCTGTAAATTACCGCGCTTTACTTTTTCGCGCTGAGTTGCTGGCGCTCTGCTTTACTGCGCTGATAGTCATGGCGCTGAAGTGCTGGCGCTGAAATGTATCGCGCTGAAACGGTGGTGCTGAAGTGGCAAGTCACCATTCCTATGTGTCATGTGGCTTTGTGCACAATGTATGCTGGTCCTGTGACCTGTGTGCCATGTACAGGGCAAGTCTACTCTGGCAGGCCTTGTTCACATCATCTGTGGAGTGTTTGGCGAGGAGCCACCAGTCTTCAGTCGTCCGGCCAACCAGCCGTTCATCACCAGCACCGCCGCACGCCGCACAAGCGGCACTGCCGCCGACGCGACCATGGTAACCGCGGGTAGCAGTGGAGGGGTCGCTAGGTCGGTAGGTGCTAGCACATGCGCGACGAGCGTTGCCATGCCTCAACCACCACCATCGTTCAGCACTGCCACCTCGCAGCAATGTAAGTGGCAAGTTGTGGTGATGCAAGCGCTTCTACGATCACTTAGGTTTTCGTTTTGCCTTCCTTCACACACAGGGTCGTGGACCGGAGTGAGCGAAATTTATTTTTAAATGGCCAAGCAATCTCAACTTCCTCTTTCCGGTTGTGAAGTTTCCTGTAGATGCCATTGTTTGCATTTTCAGTTGTCAGACCCCACCAATCACCACCTTTCCCTTGTGCTTGTGTAAGTCATTCAGAGTGTGTGAGCAACTTCCCCCGGTCAGAATGTTGGCCTTCATGTGTGTGTGTGTGTGTGTGTGTGTGTGTGTGTGTGTGTGTGTGTGTGTGTGTGCGTGCGTGCGTGTGTATGTATGTATGTACATGTATGTATGTATGTATGATTGTCTGTCTATTTCGGTCGGTCTGTGTGTGCCTGTCCGTGTATGTGTGCGTGTGTGTGTGTGCGTGTGTGTGTGTTTGTGTGTGTGGTTGTCGGTTTGTCTGTCTGTGGCTGTCGGTCTGTGTGTATGTATGTGTGTGTCTGTGTGTGTGTGTGTGTGTGTGTGTGTGTGTGTGTGTGTGTGTGTGTGTGTGTCTGTCTGTCTGTCTGTCTGTATCTGTCGGTCTCTGTGTGTGTGTGGCAGATCCCAGGATGGCCTCGGGACACCTAATTCGTCCAACAGTGGCAATGCCTGCCACCACACAGGCTCACACAAGCAGCAATCCACCTGTGTTCCATCCTATGCCTAGCATGGTACCTACACATGGGCCACCCGGGGCAGGTACGGCCCTGCCCAACCACGGGCAGGCCCCGGTCGCACCCGTAGCCACCGCCGGTACAACACCCTATCCTAATCTATCACGGTTGCCCGGCCAACAGGCGCAGCCATCGTTACCGTCGGTAACGCAGTCCAGTGGGGGAGGGTATGCGGCCAGCTCTGGTCCTCCCAATCCAGGCCATGTGCCATTCCCGGCAGCTAATGCTGTTGCTGCTCCTGGCCCTGGCTATCCGAGTTCAGCGCAGCCTGGTATAGGTGAGTCACTGATTACTAGTATCGCAAAGTACCACGAGAACGCCCCGTTTAGTGAGAGTGCCCCACCTTGATTTTACAGCCAAGGAAAGGGAAATCGTATGGCCGAGTGCAACGAAGTTTGTAGTGTGTGGGAACCTTAGCGTACTAAGGTCACACTTGGCAGGTTTTTGTGTGGAGCGCGTGCCTGCTCAAAGGTTGTTTATGGATTGACTGCACCACGGGCAATGTGTGTACAAGGTGCGTGTTGTATGACCTACAGACAGCACACCACCTCCACAATGCAATCATGAAAGGACGAGATGGCGGGGTGCTCTCGCGGTACTTTACGGTACACTCATATTTCATTTATCCGGGCGGTCCAGAACCGTGCACTGCCCATAACTTTGAAATATCCGTAACTGCGAATCACATACATTTTGATAAGGGCCATAGATTTGGCATGTGACGTCACTATTTCTGCAAAAGTGCCAAAAGAGTACTTCCTCCGGAAAGAAAAACTTCGTGACTTTTTTACTACTTTTCGCTGCTGTTATTTCGCTCTTTCTCCCTGGTTCTGTCAGCCTGGAACACTGACATGACATTTCGGAATCGTAGGAAAGCATACTTCATATTCTGGAGAGCCGACAGTTGTCGCAGAGCAAGGGTGTCGACGTTGCAAACAAAGCAAAGCAAAAATGTTTCTCATTTTCGTCCACCAGGCGCTATGAGAAGAAAAGCACTGAGCTCACTGCTCGTCGTTGCTATGTTTTAGTTCAGAACTTGACAGAGCAGGACAATGGCACCCAGGAGCAAGAATAGGGGAAAATGAATAGCAATAGCAGCTGGCATTTTGAAATCTTCGCCATCCCCGAAGAGCCTTTCGGCATGCGAACAAGTCGGCACGATGTCAAAACTATAAAACGCAGAGAAGTGACAATCGTCACTTCACGCAGCAAAGCAAGATGAACAAGTTCAAAAATAGAAGTCAACGCTCAGCCACTGCAGAGCCCATACCTCAAAGTGGATGATGTCGCCTTTTCCAGCAGCCTCGATGATGTGTTCTTGGTCGCAAAGGAGAACAGGCGAGATCTGATCGGGGCAGTCGGGAAGTGCTGGTACGACTCTATGATATCCCTCGGAGAAAATTTGAAATGTTTGGCTCTGCCTGTGTTTGTCCTCGAGCGAGAGCGGAGGCGGTAATGAGTACCAGTGCTGCAGCGGTACCGTGGTCTCCGCCAAGATGTTGGAGAAGGCATTCAGGTAACAGCGAAGAGGATCAGGAACGCGGAGAAGCTTCTCCGCGACATACGACATCGTGTCGATCGACCTGCCACTTGGACCGGTTTCAGCCGTGATGAGTCGAGCGATGGCGACCCAGACTGAGACTCTACTCCCACTAATCGATCCTGTAGATATTGTAGATATGTCGATTGAACGTGTTGAAGTGTTTCTCTTCCAGAAGAGCACTTCTGTTGAGCACAGTAACTCCTTGAAAAGTCATGTAAAAAGGTCACGAAGTTTTTGTTTCCGGAGGAAGTAGTAATATTTCCACTGAAACTCTCCCAAATGGTGCCCGGTAGACTGAAGTGCCCATAACTTGGGGGTCCAGATAACCGAGGTATAAGTGTACTTGTACATTTTACAGGCCTGTTACACAGAACTCTACTCATTACTAGTGGCTACATGTAAGCCATGTGCATCCTGCAGATCAACAGTGCTGGCAGCTGAAATCCAACCCCTCAGCGGTGCGTTCACTTTCTAGCGGCTTCTATTTCGTAGTTTTACAATCTTGTGTTGGGTGTTTGCGATGTGAACACCGCTCAGGGGTCGGATTTCAGTTGTCAGCACTGTATGTTGGTCGGTTTAATGATCATGCGGAGTATATTGGCGCTGGCGATTTTGAAAGCGGTTTGCATATACTTACAGGGTCGCGCAGACTTACGGGGTCGCACAGACTTACAGGGTTGCACGGACTTACAGGGTGGCACCGACTTACAGGGTGGCACAGACTTACAGGGTCGCGCAGACTTACAGGGTCGCGCAGACTTACAGGGTCGCACAGACTTACAGGGTCGCACAGACTTATAGGGTTGCGCAGACTTATAGGGTTTGACAGACTTACAGGGTCGCGCAGACTTACAGGGTTGCACAGACTTGCAGAGTCGCGCAGCCTTACAGGGTCGCGCAGACTTACAGGGTCCCACAGATTTACAGGGTTGCGCAGACTTACAGGGTCGCGCAGACTTACAGGGTCGCGCAGACTTACAGGGTCCCACAGACTTGCAGGGTCGCGCAGACTTGCAGGGTCCCGCAGACGTGCAGGGTCGCGCAGACTTGCGGGGTCGCGCAGACTTACAGGGTCGCGCAGACTTACAGGGTCGTACAGACTTACAGGGTCGCGCAGGCTTGCAGGGTCCCACAGACTTGCAGGGTCGCGCAGACTTGCAGGGTCGCGCAGACTTGCAGAATCGCGCAGACTTCCAGGGTCGCGCAGACTTGCAGGGTCTCACAGACTTGCAGGGTCCCACAGACTTGCAGGGTCCCACAGACTTACAGGGTCCCACAGACTTGCAGGGTCGCGCAGACTTACAGGGTCGCGCAGACTTGCAGGGCCGCACAGACTTGCATGGTCGCGCAGACTTACAGGGTCGCGCAGACTTACAGGGTCGCGCAGACTTACAGGGTCGCACAGACTTACAGGGTCGCACAGACTCACAGGGTCGCACAGACTCACAGGGTCGCACAGACTTGCAGGGTCGCGCAGACTTGCAGAGTCGCGCAGGCTTGCAGAGTCGCGCAGACTTGCAGGGTCGCGCAGACTTGCAGGGTCGCGCAGACTTGCAGGGTCGCGCAGACTTGCAGGGTCGCGCAGACTTGCAGGGTCGCGCAGACTTGCAGGGTCGCGCAGACTTACAGGGTCGCGCAGACTTACAGGGTCGTGCAAACTTACAGACTTGCAGGGTCGCAAGACCTACAGGGTCCCGCAGACTTACAGGGTCGCGCAGACTTACAGGGTCGCGCAGACTTACAGGGTCGCGCAGACTTGCAGGGTCGCGCAGACTTGCAGGGTCGCGCAGACTTGCAGGGTCGCGCAGACTTACAGGGTCGCGTAGACTTACAGGGTCGCACAGACTTACAGGGTCGCACAGACTTACAGCCTACATACAGGGTCGCGCAGACTTACACTTGTGCGTGTGTGTGTGTGTCTGTGTGTGTGCGTGCACGTGTATTTCTGCTCCTGTTGTGTGTGCCTGTAGGGCAGCAGACACCGTATCCACAACAAACCTACTTCCAGCCGCCGCCACAACCTACAGGCAGTGGCTTCGCACAGGCTCCACATTCTGGTGGTCTTCAGCCAGTTAGCTATCCCGGTCACCTCTCCGGTCATTTAGCAGGCAGCAGTCCTGCCACAACGGGGAGCACAACAGCCGGCGCAAACACGACATATAGTGCTGGTGCCGGCGGCACTGGCATGGCAACGTCCTCACTGGCCATGTCCTCGTCCAATGCCCTCGTGCCGGGGGTCGGTGGAAGCTCGTCAACAGGCAGTCTAGAAGCTACCACAGTCAAGGCCAGCCTCGTGTCCGCCGTCGAGGATAAGCTGCGCAGGAACTTGGCCAGCTCGGAGCAAGCCGCACAGGTACGTCGTCGATGTGTGTTGTGTGTTGTTGTCTTCATCTATCTTATGCATCTGTGCGTCTGTGGGGAGGGGGGTTACGTCGCTGTGTGTTGTTGTCTTCATCTGTGTAGTTCAACCAGCCATGTGGTGTAGACCAGGCTAAAATTGGTGACGGTCAATTCATCAGCCTTGCAAACTGTTGAATGGTGTAATCCCAGCACAAGTTGCTATGTCAACATAGCTTGTTCGCTAACATCGCTTCAGCGATGGGCAGGAGTGCGAGTATGAGTACCTCTGTGTTTATTTTTAATAGGAGGGTGTGGGGGGGGGGGGGGGGCAGGCTTGTTTCTCCTCATCATGTCCGGCAACAACTACTCTGCAGTGGAGTGTGTAGCTATACTGGAAATCCGAAGGATATACCTCTGCACTTTTTTCCGTATGTGTGCGTGTGTGTGTGTGTGCGTGCTTGCGCGCGTGTGCTCAATCACAGGAGGACTTGTCTCAACTCAGTGGCACACACTCAGAGCTGGTGGACGGTGGTAATCGCTTGCAACAGATGATTGATGAGATGTCTGCAAAGCAGGTTAGCGGTTAGATTCAGCTTGTTGACTTGTCTTGCTGACATCAATATTGTCTTTCAGGGTTCTCGCCAAAGCGACATAGCGGGGCGCTGCACCCTCCTTCACGTTTTGACCACCTCCTTTCCGAATGAATGCTCCACCCTTCAGAGTGTGAGCACCCCCATTTTGTATGCATGATTAGGACACACTATGTACAGTCATGTACATGTACTAGCACAGGATTGTATGAGTCATTGCATCATAATCATCACTTACCTCTACAACCATATCAATGGCGGGTTCCAGTGGCCGGTGAATAAATACATGGAATGGAAGTACTCAATCTGCGGACAGAACTGTTTCCTCCTTTGTGGACTCGTCAGCGCAGCACAGAGGAAACGAGGCCGAACCTGGTAGCAATGAAAAATAAATTTTCCAATGCCAGATTTAAACCAAGCCCGAACGTACCTTGCCAGAGTGCTCGAACTGACAAGTCAGTGAGCTCTGCATAACGCAAACAGCAAAGGCACTACCCCACGCAAGAGTGCTCAACTGCTACAAGAGCAGGAGCGAAATACTCAATCTGCGGACAGAACTGTTTCGTCCTGGGATGGAAGTACAATAGTTGTTCGGTTGCTTACTGGTGTCGGTGAAAGTAGCGGCCAAAATGGCGGCAAAAATGGTGGTAAAATGACAAGATTTTGGGTCCGATGGGTGCTCGTCAAAACCCGATTTGACCTATATTCCTATTTGGTGGACTACTGTAACTTGCGGCGTGTTGGTCCCTGAGAGCTGGGAGGGAAGGGAGAGGGGAGACACTATGGATGCATGACAGTGCAGTACTGTAAAAGCCCGTGTATAGGCCCCAGGCGTATAGAATAGCAGCCTCGGTTTTCTGGGCGTATACAAGGGCACGGGCGTTATTTTGGAACCGGGCGTATACTTGGAATAGGGATAGCAGTAAGTATTGGGTATCGGTACCTGTACATGTACTGGTGTTGCCGGCATACCTGGGCGTATACATGGGCATGGGCGCTATTTTGAAACAAAACTGTTGACTTCCCCTGACTGGGCGTGTACACGGAGGGTGGGCGTATACAGGGGCTTTTACGGTACATGCACATTGATTGGTATTGGATTCGCTTCAAAAATGCCATTAGTTGTGCGGTGGCTTAGTTTTAACATCCAGTGCTGTCCAGTGAAATCCGATCGCATGTGTCAAGTATGCGCCCTGCACCAGTTCCCATCCCAGTATTCGCTGATTGCACCAGTTCCCATCCCAGTATTCGCTGATTGCACCAGTTCCCATCCCAGTGTTGGCTGATCTAGGGCTGCACAGCACCCGGGCCTGCTTGACATTGACTGACTTGATTGGATTTGATTAAGCAACAGCACTGTCCAAGTCCAGATGTGGTGCTTGCCAGAATGTCTTATCTCTTAGCCTGTCAAACCCTATTTATAGGGTTTTCAGCCGCGCGTTCTATCTTGTGCTCTCTTGAGAGCCCACTTGGCTGCTATGGCAACTAGACGCCTGTGCCCACATACGTAGAATGTACGAAGGGTTCTCTTGCTGAAGACCGTGAAAATTGTGTTGCTATTTTCTTCGAGTACGGTTAGTTTTAGTGCAGCGCTGTCGTAAAAAATTCTAGGCCCTAGATTTTTCACGATGGAGGAAGAGCAACTTGAGTTAGTGGAGACGAACTCGGGCGATGAGAATGTTCCTGGCGACCTGGTGTCGACTCAGGATGATGATGTCGATGTTCCAGCAGCGTCGGATGCTCCTGAAGAAGAAGGCGAAGCATCAACAGCGGCTGTCGCAGCTGCCGCTCCCGCCATTGCCGTTTCTGCATCAGCTGATCCACACGTGGGTCGGAAGCAGTAAATGCGGCGACACTCGCGCACTTCGTAGGAGCGCTCCTGCTAACATCAATGGCAATGCAGTGAAAATATCAAAAAAAACCAAGTGAAACTGTGTGTATTGTGTGCCCAGTTGTGAGGACTGATCAAACCCTTTCTTTAGGGGTCCTAACCCTATACATAGCGTCTTTATGTGTAGCGTTATGTCAAACCCTATATATATAGGGTTTCCTGGTGACAGGCTAAGAGATTGGGTTTGTGTCCGTGTTTGTGTCTGTGCTTGTGTGCCTGTCTGTGTCTGTGAAAAATGAAAACTAGGGATTCATTGGCCAGAAAAATGAAAACTAGGGATTCACTGGCCAGGCTAAAATTAGTGGCGGTCAATTCATCAGCCTTGCAAGCTGTTGAATGGTGCAATCCCAGCACAAATTGCTATGTATAACATAGCTGCTCGCTATCATCGTGTCTGCAATGGGCATGTGTGGGTCTGAGTGTGTGGGTCTGTCTGTCTATTGGTCTGTGTGCCTGTGTGTGTGTCTATCTGTCTATTTGTCTGTGTGCCTGTGTGTGTCTGTCTGTCTGTCTGCCTGTCTATTTGTCTGTGCGTGCGTCACTCTCTTTGTTTGCTTGCAGAATGAGCTGCGAGCGTCGATTGAGGAGCTCAAGGCTTGCCAATCAGAAGTACACACTGCTAATGATCGTTTGCAGAAACTGACGGATGAGCAAGCCAATGTGGACGCCATTGTTGTGGCTGATTATCCATTACATAGACAGTAAGGAAGGTGTCAGTGTGTGTGTTTGTATGTGTGTGTGTGGGGGAGGGGGGGGGGGGGGTGAATGGGTGATAATGATACCAGTACTCTCCATGGTACTGGCGACAGTGTTTCCCCTATTTTTTTTATCTTCTCTCTCTCTCTCTCTCTCTCTCTCTCTCTCTTTTAGAGTTGAACCATGCAAGTATGGGCTAGGTTGTAATAGCTTGCTCTTGTAATCTTGATGTGTGTGTGTGTGTGTGTATGTGTGTGTGCGTGTGTGTGTGTTTGTGTTGTAGAATTCTAGATCTACTTGCTGAGGACAATGGCATTGAGGACACCCTGTAC